GGGTGAAGGAGGAGAGTGCAAAAGTTGGCTTGAAACTCAACATTAAGAAAACTAAGATCATGGCATCCGGTCCTATCACATCCTGGCAAATAGATGGGGAAGAAATGGAGGTAGTGACAGATTTTATTTTCCTGGGCTCCAAGATCACTGCAGATGCGGACTGCAGCCAAGAAATTAAAAGACGCTTGTTCCTGGGGAGGAAAACTATGGCAAATCTAGACAGCATACTAAAAAGCAGAGACATCACCCTGCCAACAAAAGTGCATATAGTCAAGGCCATGGTTTTCCCAGTTGCAATGTATGGCTGTGAAAGCTGGACCATAAGGCTGAGCACCAAAGGATTGAGGCCTTTGAATTGTGGTGCTGGAGGAGACTCCTGCAAGTCCCTTGAACCGCAAGGCGATCAAACCGGTCAGTGCTAGAGGAGATCAACCCTGACTGCTCTTTAGAAGGCCAGATACTGAAGATGAAACTCAAATACTTTGGCATATTCTATTTGAGAAGGAAGGACTCCCTGGAGAAGAGTCTAATGCTGGGAACAACAGATGGCAAAGAAGAAGGGGACGGCAGAGGATGAGGTGGCTAGATGGAGTCCCTGAAGCAGTTGGTGTGAGCTTGGGTGGATTCCGGGAGATGGTGGAGGACAGGAGGGCCTGGAGGAATGTTGTCCATGGGGTTGCAATGGGTCGGACACGACTTCGCAACTAACAACAACAACATGCTTTTTGACATCTTCCTGAAGTCACTGGGGGAGTATCACCCAGAGTTTTAAGGCTGGTTCTAATCAGATGACAACATCCAACTCCTGCTCTCAGTTTTACAACAGATGCAAATGCTGAACTGTCACCTGTAAGCAGTGATGGACAGGATGCAGGTGAAGATTCTGAGGTTCATTCTAGAAAAGCAGAGGTTCTATTTGTCAGTAGACAAACAGATCCCAGCCTGTCAGGTGGGACTGCACTTCCTCTAAAAAGCCACATTTGCAGGCTGGGTTGCCCCTGGATTCACACTGCTTCTGCAGGATGAGGCAGCTGCTATGGCCCAGAGTGCCTATGGGTTGTGTTTTGGCTTGTGTAGCAGTGGTCAGCGTTGTATCTCAGAAAAGGGTGATGTAGCCTTAATTAAGAAATCATATCCCTGTCAGACCGCTGTAAGAATACTTTTTGCAGGACTATCCCTCCAAGGTGTTTTCAAATTATAGCTACTGGAAAATACACAAGCCAGAAATTTGTCTGGCATGTGTCATACTGATTATATGACATTGGTCTTGGAGCAATTGCCCTGGCTTCCAATATCTCTCTAAGCCTCACTGAAGATGCTGCATAAGTGGGTCTGCACTGTACAATCTTCACCAGAGGTTCTCTTGTATGTCCCACTACCAACAGGAGTCATGTGGGTCAGCACCCAAGATAAGACGTTTCCTGTAATAGCACCCAACTGTGGACTTCTCTTCCAAAAGAGATTAGATTGGCTCCATGTTTGCCTCCTTTTATGAGGACAGTAAAATGCTCTACTCCAGACAGGTTTTTTGTTGTATTTTAATCTTGTGCTGTAGTTTAAGACATCATCATTTTGCTTTCAGGTGGTTGCCTTCTGAGTCTGGTAGACAAAAAAGCAATCTGTAACTACTTTAAATTCATTAAATAAGAAAGAGGATAAGGTAGTCTAAAGGTTTTGCATTAGTTTTTTTCTTTAATAGAAACTGATTGCAAACTTTCTAGGGCATTCCTGCATAAAAGGTAAACTGTTTCGGGAGACAACCCATGTTATGTGAATAGAGTTCTGCTAGCACAAAAGCCCCCCATCCCTCAAGTGACTGGCCTCTTACAAACAAAACAAAACACAATACACAACACAACACTGTCCCAGGGTCTCCCAACCCTTTGGGGTAGATTTTGGAAGGCATGCAACGATATGAGGGAAGGTGAATCAGTTCTTCTAAGAGTTGGACACAACTAGACTCAACTCAGTACCTTGTCATTTTTGTTACAATATTACAAGTAGAACTAGCAATCCTGAGAAGGTAGTGAAAGAGCCTGCACGCCCATCACACTGTGGCGAAGCTTCCCTTCTACCAGCAATGTCTGCCAATGAATGTGGTATATACCTTCCATACCCCCCATAAAGAATGGATACTCTAATGGCATTTAATGAAATATGAGGATGGTTCCTCGCAGCCCTAGAGCACAAGGCAGGCCCAGGCAGAGAAGGCTGGACAGGAACACCTTTTGACTGGGAAAAGCAGTGGGAGGATTCTACAAAGCATGGGGGATTAAAAATGCCCTCCAGCTCCCTAATGAGCTCCTGCATGAGAAGACTGCCTACAGGAGAGCTACCAGCTAGCTGTGTCTGTCTGTCTGTCTGTCTGTCGACTATACATAAAACAGAATATGAGAGCTGGGACAGTTCTCTTATTTCCAGGCAGTTCTCTTACTTTTTTCTACCCACTGAACTACAGATTATAAAATTCATAGCACAGCTCACAGAATTTGAACTGCATGACACTTCCAGAGGACACACTAGCCAATAAATCACAAGCCTGCAGCAACTGTTTGCAACTCACTGCCAATATTACAAGTTCCACGTGAGAAGGGCTGGCACTGAGGAGAAAGGATCTAGGATTGACTGTGGAATGCCAAGGCCTCAAGACTTTTTAGCAAAGCAATACATCTCAAGTCATTTCTAAAGTCCATGTTTCCTTCAAGTTTGAATGCTTTGAATAATATACACTAGGGGAATTTATAGGAATGTGTGCCACTGAATCTGATGGACTTTGGTCATTAGAGTGCCTTTCTTCTTGATAGATCATGTCATGTAAACACCGAACCTGGAATGTATTTCATCATTTCTTCAAAG